GTGGAGTCATGGATTTTCAGGTAAGAACAAGCTGAAGGAGAACATCAGAAGTTTTTTATTTTGGGGGGTTTTGGTCTGAGCCTGGAGAAACAGTAAGTGGAAGAGAAGAAAGGAAAAAATTAAAAGCAGGAATTAATGATGCAACTGGTGCTGGGAGCAGGGAGAAAAGAATTTATCCAACTTAATTTGATTGCTTCATGCTTTTTTGTCTTTGACAGCAGAGAGATTGTGAGCAAGGACAAAGTCTGGTTACTTGAAAGTGGAAACTGATGTAATTGAATGCATTTTTTTAAAAAAAAGGATAAGTATATTTGCAAAAGCATCAACCTAATTATCATATGATGCAACTAGACAGGTGGTTAATTTCTATTTCCTCTATTTGCAGAGCTATGCTTGAATGATCCTGCTTATGATGACTGTTTTGTAGAGCTGGTCATTCATAGGAATCCCTGAGCTGCTCCACGCCTTTTCACTTTGAGCAGTACCTCCTCTATGCAGAGCAGTGCTAGTTGCATGTGATTTTAGAGGAAATAAAATTTGTATGTTAAGATGTTTGTATGCTAATTTGTTTGTTAAGATCTTTGAACATCAGTAGTATATTTTCAAGCTACAGTTCATGTCATGTCTTGTCAGAGCATCAACACATTCAGTTGCTAGGTGCTCACTGAAACCTGATAGTTGGCAGTGAAGTGTGATGATGCTTTAAAATGTACTTTTCAAACCATGTCTAGACTTGAGCTATGGAAAATAGCACGGATAGTCCCCTTCTGAACTGCACTGTTTTGTCCATGAAGATGCTTCTGACAGTGTTACTGATCCTGAAGCGTAAGATGCCCATTTTAAATTCTCATTTTAGAAGTTTTTTTTTTTTTTCTGTATTAAAATCAGCCAGCTTGCTTTTATTACCTGGGCATAAGAACAGAATTCTTTCACACTGAAGTGCTGGCGTAACTATAAATGCAAAGTTGTGGGCAGCCATTGCAGAAGACACTAGCAAGAAGAGGAATTGAAGCAGAATCTAGGCAGAGTGTAAGTACAACCTTGGCAGTAGATATTCACACATGAGCACACTATAGAGGCCCACTATATAGCCTGAGCACATACAGTGACATTAATGCACATGGCCTTTAACAATACCTACTGGATATGTTTGTAAGAGCTCACTTCAATGAAAATATTAAAGAGTATAATGGTCTCAGTGGATCTCAATGTGCAAACTAGGAAGTTCAACCTTGTACCAATGAAGGGTTGATTACTGTACTCTTAGAAGGGCAAATCTCACCATGGACAAAACTGGGACAGCATGCCATGATCTACACTGAGAAGATCCCTTTTTGCCACAAATCAGGAAGGGCATGGGTGCTTTTTTTTTCTGTGTGGATCCGATGGCCTGGCACACCAGAACCACTGAAATATAAGGCATTGGTGGATACCGGTGCACAGTGCACTCTGATGCCCTTGACTTATGAAGGGACAGAATCAATCCATATTTCTGGAGTGCCTGGGGGCTCTCAAGAATTGACTGTGTTGG